AGGCCAGACAGTTGATGGAAAATTCTACGTCGATGTGCTCAGACGCCTCAAAGCTCGTGTGGCACGAGTTCGTCCAGAATTGGCGCGAGAGGGGCGTTGGATTCTTCACCACGACAATGCCCCTGCCCACACCTCTCTTGTTGTCCGTGAGTTTTTGAGTAAAAATTCCATTACGGTGACCGAACACCCCCTATTCGCCGGATTTGGCCCCGTGTGACTTCTTCTTGTTCCCAAAAACCAAATTGGTACTTCGGGGGCGGCATTTGGGGGACATAAATGAGATAAAAAAAGCTACGACGGGGCAGCTGAGAAACCTACAACCAGAGGACTTTCAAGGAGCCTTCTCACAGTGGAAACGGCGTTGGCACAAGTGCATTATGTCACAGGGGGAGTACTTTGAAGGGGATAAAATTGATTTACCTGAATAATTGTAAAATAAAATTTTTAAAAAACTTTTATACGTACTTTCCGGACAAACCTCGTATGTTTGTATGTATATAATTTACCGCCTTTTGTATCACTGCTCATTAATATTTTCTATATTTGTAATTTTTTTTACTTGGTGCAATAAAGTGTAAATGAATATAAATAAAATAAAAATACCATATTACAGTAAAATAAACAAGTCAATTATTATATTATTAAAAACAACCATTGAGTATCTCTGCACATCCTAAATGTTGACAAGTAGAGAATGCCTATAGCATTAAGTTCACCTTTTGTAGTTGTTAGGGATTATAGTCTTGAGCATATATATATATATATATATATATATATATATATATATATATATATATATATATATATATATATGTTTTTAGATACACATGTATTATGCATATTGAACAATCTAATTATACAATGTTTGAAAATTACAGTGTTGTGTAACAGTAGTTGCATCTCAAACCGGTCTGTTGCATGTCCGCTGCATAACAACGATATTAGATGTAACTTTACAACTACTTGAAAAATTAACTCATACCAGTTCAAACGAAGATTGTAGTTTGTTGACTAAAACGTTTTTTTTATACCACTGATATGGCAAATAAGCACGGCCCACCTGATGGTAGGCGGTTACAGTAGCCTATGAACGCCTGTAACACTAGAGGTATTACGCACGCGTTGCCGACCCTGAAAAAAACTTAAAGAATCTTTAGTTACTACAGTTTCTATCCGCAATTGGTACGCGTGGATTTTGTAAATCAAGACAAAATATACCAAATTCAACAATAAGATCTCTTTACTGCACTAATATAACTGTATTGTTACATTTATTGTCTTGCTTCCATATGTTGTATAATGCAAATAAAGTATAGTTATTCATTCATTCAAGTTTAAAGCTCAAACATTATTATTATAATATCGGTCAACATTCATACAAACACTACCAGAGATTTGTACGAGTAAACCTCCGTCTTTTTATACACATGTATGTAGGATTAAACTAAATCAACACTCGTGCACAGAAGGGAACGTATTAATGATATTTTTAAATAAATTGTTCAAAAATTCGTTTTTCTATATCCGGAAATGTTGCAAACCAAACGTGAAAAAAATTATAAGAATAAAATTCTTGTATTTTAAATATTCTTTATTAATACACAAATTAAAACAATTCAATGAAAGTGAATACATGGACGGATGGTAAATTTTACATGAAGTTTATGTTTAATTTAAAATGTTGTTTATTATAATTTCAAAATGAAAGTAAAAATATGACTAGTATTTAAAAAACTTCATACCTAAATTCTAAACAGGCCTCTCTCTTTAATTACTAGTGCGTATCATACATCCATTATAAATTGGACTCTACTCTCCTAAGTAGGTATTTAGATAAGGAGATCTCTGAATGTCTTGCTTCCGGCCATTTTGGATACCTATCACTGGTTACATTAATTTTTTTTTTTTGTAATAAAAATAACTTAATTTTAAACACTTTTTATATTATATGTTATTTAGATTTATTATGCCATAATTATAGTGTTTATTACGTAACTGTGGTTACTGGAGCGATTACAACATTTGGTTGCTTCCTGAAGTGTACTGAAAATATATTTTATGCTGGGTGTAATCAAAATCTGTAGGAGTACGTGATACTAAGATTCTATTCATGCGATAGGACATTTTAGGGCAGTTTCATATATCAATAAGATTGTGTTCCACAAAAAATTTACTTCAATCGTGGAAAAATCAATTGTTTTATTAAATTTCTGTGGGACCAATTTGAAGTCCCTTTCTTTAAATATAAAAAATACCACCGAATTAAGTCTCCGTCTTTTTCTTAAAGTCGCTTGAAAATTAAAAAACGACAATAAATTTTAAGTATATTCAAACCAGAGTAAAGAACCTTAACTAAATTAACGCTGTTATGAGAGGCTCAAGTACTTTATCATTCTTGAATTTTTGTTTCACGAAACTTTTCTGAGATGCCCGATAAAGTGGGTTCATTTCGTTGATACGAATACGTTCCTGTGGAGTACAGGTCACATATATATGTGGCTTTTTTTAGTTTTTATTTATAGTTTTTATATTATTATCTATCAAATTCAAAATTGACACTTCTTTCTATTGTTCCCTTTTGTTTGGCTCCCTTTCATAGCCCTAGTTTTCTAAAATCCTATTAATATACATAGAACAGAATTTCATAAATTGTAGCTAAGAACCATCTTGACCATTTAGCTCGTCATGAATACACCCGGAATTTAGTACCCAGAGGGACCACGGTGAGGTCAACCCGGGTATATATATATTTTTATTGGATGATAATGGAATGGTAACCCTCCTCTGCGCTATCGATATACACTGGCGAGGTACCACTGAGGGATGAATAGTGAGAATAAAAAGGCAGGTCGATTAGCCCATCGTGACGAATTCAACGATTAATTAGTCACGATGATTTCCAGGGGGAACTGCGTGGAAGTCGACCTGATAAGGTATGTTGGTAGTAATGGGAACTAACCTCCTAAATTATTTATATATTATATATATAGGGTATATTGTTAACAATGGGCATTGGTAGTCTGCAGTACTAATAATTCCTTCCCTTCTATGGATAAAGTTTGGTACACTCAATGATTAGATACCAGTGAATGGATCTGATTCATTCTTGTCTATCAGCTTTTATAAATAACGTAGGTGGAGGAAAGTGGGGTTACCATGTTAAATATATATTAAAATAATCAGAAAAATATTATATTCTTCAGTTGTTATAAATAGATAATACGCCATCTTGTGAATAATTGTAGTAATAATGTAACTTAAACTTTGCTATCTGCTAGGGACTTGTACTTTTGCGACTATCTGTGTGCATATTTGTATTTCATCTGCTAGATAATAGATGGCGCTGATTTTAAAAGTAAGCAAAGTGTTGTGATGTCTGGTGAATACAATATATATATTTGGATGAATGAAATACAATAAATATATTGGAGGGAAAGGGGTTGTTAGCAATGGAGTTTGACAGCCTCATTGCTAGCAATATGCCCTATCAGGTCGACCTCTACGTGGTACCCTCTGGAAATCATTGTGAACAATTCTTGTTAAATTCGTCACGATCGACTAACTGACCTGCTTCATCCTCATCTATCATCCTTCACTGGTGCCCCGCCGGTGTATACCGATAGCGCGGGTGAGGTTACCGCTTTATTATCATCCATAAAAAAATAAATTAGAAATTGTGGACTACCGGTCCCATGCTACGAGTAGCATGTCGTCCCTGTCAGGTCGACCTTAACGCGGTTCCCCCTGGAAACTATCGTGCTGAATTCCAGATGTATTCATATAACTGACCTGCTTAGTCTCACTTGTCATCCCTCATTGGAGCGGCCTCTATATAATAATTAATTTCCTTTACGCATTTTTAACGTTCCCTTCCTTTTTTCCTTAATCCTTTCCTCCATTCCATAGATGGAGGAAACCACCAACAAATGCATTCCCAAAGAGGGCTGTATATTACAAAAAGCCAAATATTTTTGTAATATGGATAAAAACATTACGCCGACCCCAAATAACAGTTAGGATAAGGGTAGAAAGATGATGATGATATATAATAAATATGTCAGTTTATTTGCAGGTTTATTGCCATATAGCACCTTTGTTTTAACCAATCACTATAAAATTCAGTATACACGTACTATATGGGATAGAAAGGATATATATAGATATAGATATATAGACTGCTTTTTATTCCGATAAGTAAACATATCCCGACTACGCGGACGTAGACGCGGGTAAAAGCTAGTAGAACATAATTTCTCTATATAATGCCCTTGATGTGGTGATTTAACATACTGCCTCACTTTCTGTAAGTTCCGTGTTTGATTCCAACACAATACAAACATTTGTATTCACAAGTATCTCTACCAGTTGTCTAGTATTCGTAATACGAGCTATGGTTATTGCAGGACTAGATGGCGCTACGTGATGTCTAAATCTAAACTCGAGCACCTATCTACCTTATACTGTGTCTACGGTTTAGTAAGATTTAATTTAAAATTATTCATGTTTAAGTATAAACAAATTTTCTTCAAATGTATAATCAGATGTTTTTTGGCAAGTGTAAGAGTAGAAGTAAAATTACATATATCAAAAACTATCCAAATTACGCAGGTTTAATGTGTTTTTTTTTTTATTTAAAATATTTATTCAATCTCTACAATGCTGTATGAACAAACTATTTACTTAAGACTACTCAATGTATGTAGGCAAAATAAATATAATTCTTTTTATTAAGACATTTATTATTAGTATTCGTAAAATTAAAATCATGACAGAAGCGTATAAAATAAATACGGCGCTAGTATCGGAGTAATAAGTAATAAACATTTGCAATAGGAATTTGTAAAATTGGTTCAGTAAATATATAGGAAATATGAAAACCTCTTTTTTAAAAACTTTAACTTCTAAATATTATCTTATTAATTATCCAGTACTGATTTACTCGTATTATCATAATATCTAATAATGCAATTAACAATTGAAAGTTAATGAAACACAAGCAGTTTAATTAATTAATCGCTTTTATTAAGTACTTATCTTAATAATAGGTAGTAATTATTACATGTACCTAAGACTCGTTACTTACAATGATCATTTGTTCATATTCTATATACAGACTTAATAAAACTAGTACAACATTACACTACGATTATTTTGTAATGTCAACAGCTTGTTTAATATTTCAAGTTCACATACAATAAATAATATAACACAACACTGTCATAACACGAGCCAGTCCTCCTTGATCATATCCGAAGCCTTTTCAGCGATCATAATAACTGGCGCATTTGGATTCCCGCTTATAATTGTGGGCATAATACTAGCGTCCACTACCCTGAGGTTTGCTACCCCGTGGACGCGCAACCTCGGGTCCACAACGGCTTCTTGGTCATGCTTGGGGCCCATCTTACATGTCCCCGTCGGATGGTAAATAGTAAACGTGAAGTGTTTCAAACTGCACTCCCAGTATTCATCACTAAACATCACATGATGTTGACAGCCCGGAAGAGGAATGTTATGAGGCCTCGACCCGTACCGCTGAAAGGCTGTCGTGTTAGATATAGCCATAGCTATTCTGATACCTTCTATCAATACCTTGATATCCTCTTTATAAGCGAAATAGTTGGGCTCTATAGACGCAGGATGGAATGGATTTCGACTTTTCAGTTTAACCCAACCCGAACTTTTAGGGCGCAGCAACAACGGGAGTATCGTCCATGTCTCAGCGTTTTCAATAGGTTTATACACCGTATTATATACTCTATCACGCAAATTCAGAATTCGTCGAATCTGCTCTCCGCCGTCTGAATTTACAGAACTCGGAGCGAAATGAAATTGTATGTCGGGCCAATTGCCTGATGACGGCGCGTATTTCGTGTTTACAAATGCTAAGCCTTCAACACCTTGCGTCGTCATCGGTCCTTTCTCGTATAGAATGTAGTTCATAGCTACAGAGAACGTTTGGAAGCGGTCCTTTTTAAATGTCACCGGTTTGTTTACTACGAAAGTTAAACCGCCGAGTCCAACATGATCTTGTAAATTGTGACCCACTTTTAGATTCGCTATAACCGGAATGCCGTGTTCCTTTAAATGGTCGGCAGGACCGACGCCGCTTAGCATCATTAGTTTAGGTGTGGCCAAGGCTCCAGCCGACATAATCACTTCCCTTTTTATTCTTACTTTATGTTTTTGACCGTTACGCACAAATTCGACCCCGTAAGCCTGTTTTTTAACCGGATTGATCAGTATGCGCGTCACTTGAGCACCGAGAGCGATATGTAAGTTATCCCGTTGTCTTACGGGACGCAGGAAAGCTTTGGCTGTACTGCATCGGCTACCACGGCGCATTGTCGCTTGGGTCAACATGAAACCGGTTTGCTTTGCCCCGTTTATATCTCGATTCTCGTAGCCAAGTTCCATGCCAGCTTTTATAAACGTAACAGATAGAGGTGTTCTCCATGGCGCTTCTTGGACTGTGAGAAGTCCACCGGCAGAATGATACGGCGTGTTTACTAAATACGGATTTCTGTTGTCTTCAGACTTCAAAAAATAGGGCAGTACTTGGTCATAAGACCAGCCGGGATTTCCGAGGGCCTCCCACAGATCATAATCGTTACGGTTTCCTCTAACGTAGACCATTGCGTTGAGGACGCTGCTGCCACCAAGTACCTTCCCTCGAGGCCAGTTGCAACGATCCCCGTTCATTGCTAGGCAGTAAGAGCGGTTGTTAGAAGGAGTCGTTTGAAATTTCCAATCTATGTCTGAAAGCTGCGTGTAGCCGGCTAGTGCCGGTATGTCGGAGATTTCAGTTTCATCCTGGCCGGCCTCCAGGAGCAGGACTGTCCAGTTACTGATCTCGGACAGGCGTGACGCGACCACTGCACCTGCCGAGCCGCCTCCGACTACTATAAAATCGTAAATCGGCATCACCTGAAAAAAAAAGAAAAATATTTCAGTGAGTGTGAAAAGTATTTAAATAGGTGTATAAATAATTCCTAATCCTGCCTAAGGTTGTTATAAAAAATTTAGAAAATTGATTTTCTTGTTTTATTTATTTATTTTAAATATATACTATTAAATAGTTAAAGGTTATTATTACTTATTACTCTACACCATATAATGTTCATACGATTTAAAAATATTATCATATAATATTATATATTGATTCATCTGTGAAAAATATTATTTTCATTAATATATGTTTGACTCTAATAACTGTAATCTTTTTTTTCCTATTTATTAGTTATTTATATCATTCATCTAGCACTTTTTACGCGCAGATCTACCAGGATAATTGTTATAACGCAACGGGTTATAAGGAGAGGGAGATGGAGACTTAGTACAAAAGTCATTTTCTTGGGTACCTCTGTCCCATTCCTGTTTCAACCGTGAAGCAGTTATTTGCATGACTGCGTTTCAGTTTGAAGTGGGATATGGCAGGGAATTAACAGAGTACAGAGGAATAGCACCTGAGTCCTCAGGAATGGCAACGCATGGAAGGTATCGTGAGTGAAACAGTATACTCTGTTACATCCATGGTACTGCTCATGTCTATAGGCGACGGTTATCACTTTCCATCAGGTAGGCCGTCAGCTTGTTTGCCATTCTAAGTTGTATAAAAAAAAGGTTTCAAGCAGTGTTAATTTAAATATACATATCAGACACTGATTGGCCACTGCTGAATATAAGACATGGAGGGTTGTGCCAGTAGTTGCCATACTTGGCAGGCAGAATGACAATCGCAGTTAGGCTTTAGTGATATTTTAGGGACGTTGTTGCCTATTCCTCGCCCTCTCTTAGTCGCCTCTTACGACATCCACAAGAAAGAAAGGGGTGGCCTATTCTATGCCGGGTCCACACCACATTAATTAAAATTGTTCGTTCCAACTGAGGAGTCATTTTTGTCGGACGCTCACTTCTGAATTTTTTACAGTATTAACATCGAACCGGTCAATTACATTATGAACAGTTGAACACGTTCTATCGACAGGTTTTGCAATTTCACTTAATGATATACATTGACTATGTAAACTATAATTAATTTTCTTTTCTTTTACAGCCCATTTTCGTTACTAAACGTGTCTAAACATATCTGTAGGGCAACTACAATGGTTTACAATGCAATAAGAAGTACCTTGCGATTTTAAAAATTCGATACTTATGAATAAAAAAACCATACATACAATTTAACTGCAATTAAAATGAATGTACGAGTAATTTTTGCTCGTTGTTTTTTTTTTCTTTGCAAAGTTAATATAAAACAACAAATAATTTAAATTGAATAAATAAAAAAAGTATTAATTTTCTATTTTTTTATAACAACCTAGATGTACGAATACTTTTTACAATCACTGTATATTAGTATCCAAATTAATATATGGAAGCAAAACTTATAAGAATCATCAAAATTGATACAGAGTTGGTGATATCACATACTATACTATGAAATTTGGAACTTTTTAAAATACTGACATAAATAAAATAAGACCAGTTGCAATCAAGTTCATAAGTTAGGAATTTTCATTAATCTATCCTACAGAAATGTGTCTAATTTTTTTTTCTATTCAACTTAGAACCGCTGAAAAAGAAAAACATGAAAAGTACTAAAACAATAAAAATATATAGCCGCAATATTAAAATAGTATTAATATGAAAATACTTTGAAAAAAAATCACGAAATGTGAAAGTGAAATAACTGATTTCGATTCAAATGGATTATTTGAGTGTTCTATCAATGAAGTTAAACATTTTTGCCTCTGAAGCATGGATTGAAAAACAACAAAAAAAAATCTCTATCTCATCTATTTACGGGGTGTGTTTAGCCGTCAAGTTAGTAATGAAATCTTGAAATATTTTGTCGTATTTCGATCTACATACAAACAAACATCTTCATGGAGAAAATGTTGGGTTTTTTTATTCAGTTGGGTTTTCTATGTGGAACACTATTTTAAATAGATGTTAATGATATAGATCTTATATTAGGCTTACTCCTGTCAATAATTTCGTTGAAGTATTAACATACTCGTAATACTAATAGTAATAATACTCAGTACTTACGGAGTTGACGTCTGATATATAAGATTCCGGGTCGAATTGCTGGTATCTGAAATACGTGATTCCTAGTGCTAGGAGTGGTATCAGACCCAGTACAGTGATGGGGGACGGTGCCAAACTCGCCAGCGCTCCTGCCGCCTCCATTTTTGCCCTCACAACTCATCTACTACTACTATCCTAATATTTACAACTTAAACTACGAGTCTTAACTCTCTTATATCCACTTATCAACCTTTTTCCTTTGCTCTTCTTCAGACAGAATTTTAGGCGTGTAATTCCTTATTCCGCCTTTCTTTTGTGTCGACGTGTTCGAGTGTGTTTCAGCCTCACTCAAGTAATTTTTGAGTCGTGCAGTTTTCAATTCCTCTTTCTCAACATCGAAAAGCTGCAGTTTGTAACGTTTCTCCTTGGTTATCTTAACGGGTTTATATAATTCTTTACTCGCCTCCTTGTAATGATCGTTTTTGTATAATGACATGCAGTAGTAATCGCTTTTTGAGGATCTTTCGGAGTGGCATTCGTAGGCACTGGATCCACTCCTGTAACCGCTGCTTTCAATTGACGAGTTGTCGCTTTTGTAGCTATCGGCACTCCTTCTGATTTTGTGTCGTTTATATTCTGTATCGTCGAAATCGCTTGATCTGTAATCGACGGGGTTTCTATATTGTGGGTCGTATTTGTCCTTGTATCTCCTCACTTGCGCGATGCTATGTCCAGCGTATGACTGTTCTTGACCCATGGTGCAGCGAGCGGCAACGATCTATCGGGATTTGTTTCCTGTAATGACACATAAATTTGTATATTAATGTATTGTATTAACAGTTCTTTTTTTTTTTACAGGTAAGATCGAGTCAACGATTTGTTTTAATTTGGTATGCTCAAAATATAAGTACATACGGAGACCCAAGGGTTGTATTGTTCATCCTTAACACAACACAATTCACTCGAGACAGATGTAATATATTAGTAATTTTGGAATGACTGACATACGAATAAATAACTGCAAAAGAGGCAGCAACATAGAAATGTATGTGAATTACGTTATTAACATTTATACCATTCTGTACATAATTTTTTTCGTGCAGTAGTAAAACAACAGTATGATATTTATTGTGTACTACTTAGTATTCAGACAGTAAATAATTAAATTAATTATTAAAACGGTAGTGGATTTCTAGTAGGTCTAAGTCAATTAGTAATGAAAGGGCCCCAAATATATAATATATAAATATTTATATCAGATTCAGTACTTTTGTTTAACTGGGAATACTGTATTTGGAATTATTAAAGAATCGATAATTAAAAAGTTAGAATGGGCAATAAAAGCTATTTTTTTTTTCATATAAAGCTTAAAATTATTATCTATGTATGTTCTGTTAATTTTTATTTCAATGTTTAAAGTTGTATTTTGTTTTATACGGCCAAAACAGCGTCAGTTATTCGACTCGCAAGTCTGCGATAGTTGACTTACGAGCGAGCGGAATGGAATCACAGAGATTCATATCCAGAATCATCACTCGCTGTTCAGTCGAGTCAGTTAAGACCCTCCTGATGGCATCGAGACATAAATTCAGTATTCGTTATACATTATAGCTAGAAGAAAAATATAGCGCGTTTTAAAACTACAGAGCGACATCTATTGATAACGAAAGTAAACACCTGCGTGGTCGTTAACCTTGTCCTTGATACCGTTAAAGATAATAACAGCTGTTAGAAGCAACTGATTATAAATATACTGTTTGACCCAGTTGAATTTCCTATCTCAATCTTGAATATTTGGAAATGCAATCTGATTGAAATTTAAAAATATCTATATTTGATTATATATTTCTACATACAATCAGTTGTGGATAATAAGCAACTTTAAAATCTTGTTAATAAAATATATGTCTATTAAATATAGTTCCCATTTTTGCTATCCAACACAACATACATGTTTCCGGCAAACCATAAACTTTCACTTGTAATTTAAACTTACTAGGTACCCTAATTGAATGGCTCTCTAATTCGATACGAGCAATTTACTTTGTATACACCTGTTTCAATTTACACGACGCTTTATGTTTCGAATTGAAAATAAGTTTGCGGTTGTGACAATCCAATGAATATCGTGATAAACAATTGTTTACAAAGCCGGTAAGTTTCACTCTCAGATGCAGGGTCATGTACTAGTCGTGTTAATCACCATGACAACAACAGATTATTCAAGCGGTTAGACACTGTCACTTTTATAATATATAAAATGGCATAAAGTTGATGAACTTTCTTCAAAAGTAATATTTTAACTTATACATATTTAATGCCTACAACTTAAGAAACATTGTAAAGAGTCAATGGATACAAATGAAAGAAAACCATTATTTACAACAATCTATAATTCTTACTTTTTATTGTGAGGAACATATTTATTTATTTATGTGCTTTTGTACATTCACTTATAAAATAGATATTAGGTTATACCAAAATGTACACAGGTGGACTTATCCTTCAAAGAAATTTCTTCTAGTAAACTTTGAGAACCCGAAAGGAGGAAGTCCTTATAGATTTCTATATAAATCATAACATATAAGGTGCATAAATAATACTGTAAATAATAATATATATATATATATATATATATATATATATATATATATATATATATATATATATATATATATATATATATATATATATATATATAAACATACAATAACTACTATTCATATAAGTAACTCAATTGTTAATTGTATTGTAAAATCTTTTGTTGGAGCTTTAATAACATAATTGCTGATAAATTGAAAAAAATGTTTCATTAAAAATTCTGCACTGGAATATTTTATTACCTATTTGCATTAGATCTCTATTCAAACATGATAAGAAGTACGATAAAGGGTATCTATCTATCAACGTTCTTTTTTTATTTAAACCACTTTAAACAAGAACTCTGTAAAGACTTATAAGCTAATATTCACGACTATTATTCCATCATCTTTTTCATTTTTTATTATATTATCTGATATTCGCAGATATGATTTATTATTTAAAGTTAACCATTAGTTAACTAAAAGCTATTTGCAGTTACTTAATTATATTTTCTGATATTTTTGTCTACAGTTGACTGGTAAATAAGGTCATAGTGGTGTTAAGTCCGCCTTTTATACTATAGTTTTAAATCTATGTAGTAACGTTCAATTAAGAAATAAATTGTATACCAGGATAAAATAAAAAAAAAAAACTGCTAAAGTATTTCACATTTTGTTACATAAAATGAAAGCAAGTTCGTGACTATCAATAGTTACAATTCAATAAGAGAAAACAATGTACCTAGCAAATCTAGTATGGAATCGAAAACATACCATATTGGGTTCTTTGATACTTATCACTTTTTAATTGAAAAAAAAAAATAACATCAGGTATCTATAAATGCAAAGGTAATCTTTATTGTATAGTAGAAAGTTAATTGTTTCGCTTTAGGTTCATCACAAACAACTAATGACTGTGTCCGCGTATACACTAACTTAAAATATTATAAAACATTAAAATTGACAATTAAAATAACAATAAAAATCACAGATGATATGATGATAAAAACAATAGTTTCTATTTTTAGCAAGAAAATAATTACCACACTGTCTTCAATTTATTCAAAAAGTAAACCTCAAATCTTAACCAAAAAATGTAATACAAATATAATTTTATGAAATATTGAAATACTTATTAAGTATTATTATATTAAATGTTAAAATTTCTATATTTATTTTCAAACATGAGTTACTATTTACCCTTAAATCCTGTATTTCTGTAGAAAAATAATGACAACATAAATAAAAAAATATAAAAAAAAAAACTTGTATATCTTGTATCAGTTATTGATGCATTTTCTTTAACAGTATCGTATTCACTAAACAGTTTAAGTCAATTTATTTAAAGATTACGTTTCTTTCATCTACTTTAAACAAACCCGTTACAATATGTAACTGTTCAGCTTATTATCTGTGTTTACAATAACAAAGCGCCATGTAATTTACTCATTAACTATTAGTATGGAACCAACCGTAAAATAGTTTGCAGTAAAATTCGTTCTACAAATACCCTCACAAATAAGCGTGGATAAGAAGCTATGTTCTATTGTGCATTAAACAATGCGCAGACATTTGCTACTTCACTTATTTTTGTAAGCGATACTCGTACTCTATATTTTTATGCTTTAAATTTGCGGAAATTGAATTAAGTTTTCAAAACTGTTATCTAAGATTTAAAATCCAATTCGCAAAACTTTAAGACATGAAATTTTTAAAGCTAATATTTGTTTTTAATTCGCTCCAACGCCGTGATTGCTTTTAAAACACTTTTCTTTATGCCTTTTTACAGCAGTGTATTTGGTAAATATAAATATTTATATAAGTATTCATCACTAAAGCCATATCGGTTTTCGAAACTTACGATTTTCATTTAGTCCATGATATTCAATTTAGATTGTTGAAAAATATAAAACTAAAATAATATAGTATAAAAGAGACAGATATGTTATATCTACGCTTATAGATTTTGTTCGAGACAATTCATTAGAGTTATTATTCTGCTAACATAAATATACTATAATGATATGATACAACAATGTTCAGAATTTTAAATTTTTTTTTCATGTAACATGAAAAAAAATTAAGACAATTACTATTAAAAATTAAAAGTATTTAAACTGATTGGAATAATTTCTCATAAAATATTATGGAGAGGTTCAACTGCAAGACAACAACATGTTTTCATTATTATTCATAATATAATGACATAGTATTAACACAGTGCAAGAACAAGAGAATTGTTTAGACTGTAGTATTAGTAAGTAATATGTGACACAATACATAATAATTGTGACCACAGTTAGAAAATTGTTCCAAATTTATCAGAGCATGACGCCTTTATCTTGTATGATATTAAAATTTAATTTTACCTGTTCATTATTCTTTGTATCAAATAGTAAAGACAACCCTATGCACATGTTTATAGAAGCTTCTTTCAATTGTTTATATGATTTCATCTATTCACTGCCTAATGTTTGAATTAATTTCTCTTAATTAACTACACTTTCGTTTATGAATTTTCAGATAAACTGTATGTGTTTTAGGTTCTTACTTTTTAATATAATAAACAGTACGTATACAGAAATGAGGAAAATATCCTCATTTCTGTATACGTACTGTTTCTCTAAGTCAAAATTAATTATTAGTCAAATTTGAAAAAAAAATGTATGGACTATTATAAAAATAAATAACCTGGGTCTTAATCTTAATACTTATAGTACTATTCTGCTTTAATATATTTTTTCTGGTTGGATTTTTCTAAAGTTCCGTAAACGTAATTAACTGTGAAATAATCGTGGTTCTACATATGTATGATACATAAATATTTATGCCGTCTTGGCAAATAACGGCATTTATTAAATGTATGCACATTGTACATTACAGTATAGTATAAAATATAGTTTTTATTATTTAATATTTTAAAAGAGGGAATTTAGTTTTCCAGTATTAACCTCAACAATATTATTAATGTAAAAGTATTTGAATGTTTCAATATTTAGATTACTCAATATTGAGTCAAAGACGCATTAACGATCGTCTAAAGGGAATGTGAGCCGCATACGAGGATTATAAAAAATATAGGTACGAATATATAAGAGATTGTTTTCAAATTGTTCATTGCCAAAACACTCATAGAATAAGGTATCTGATAAATTGACCAAAAACTATCTTAATAGTACTACCAGAGTAAATAAGATCAAACTATCAATAACC